GAGGATTTCTTAGCAGGTGGGAAAGAATGGCAGCTGGGCTGGGAGCCAGCCAGCTTTGACCTACCGTGGTCCCTCGGAGGAAAAACCAGGGTTATCTGCACTTGATTACTGTCCCCTTTCCTCCTCCTTGGGACACTTTATTCACCTTTCCCCTAAAAGGATCACGTAACCTGGGAATAATTTATTTCAACACCATGGTGTGTTTTATTAGATTTCCTTTCCTAGACCATTTCCAGGTGAAGCCCTGACTGGACAATCACATCACAGATCACACTGCAGATTTTCCTCGTTAACACTGTTGAGGGGTTTTTAATCAAAACGGGGTTTCAAACCTTTGACCTGTTTCCCCACTTCCCCAAACTGCCAAAACGCTGTGGTTCCATGTGACTGGCCTTCACTTTGGAGCCGCAGGATGAGTTGGGGGAATTCTGTGGGCCTGGGAAGGTGGTGCTGTGGAGGGTGGCCGCAGGGCCAACCAGCAGGCAGCCTTGTCTGGTTGGGGGCCAAGAGCAAAAGCGTGGTCTCCGTCCTCAGACTGTCCTGGCCGATCATGGGTCCTGGGTGGGCAGCACACTCCACTCTGAGCATTAAGGTGACGCCAGTGTGGCAATGCTTGCAAATTCAAGCAATAAGAGGAGGGGGTCCTGGAAGTTTCCAGCCCAGGCGAGAAACCCTCGTGGCTTTTGGCAACTGGATGTCCAGACCCAGGTGGTGGGGTGATTTTGGTGACGACTGTGCCTGTCCCGCTGAGTTAGTACGCATGAATGGGGGTGGGGTGGGGGTGGGGGACTCACAGGGCTGGACCAACGTTCTGGTGGACCTGATGTGAAATCCTGTCGAACAACAAAACTTTTAAATGGTTTGCTAGGATTATTTCTGTATTGAAAGTTTCTAATTATGCTTTTTAAAAAAAGTACTAAAAATAAAGGTTCAAGCTGCCAAATTTTCTTCCAGGGTCTGTTTCCTCTCTTTAGCTGTGCTCTGGGTGGGCCTGGCTTCTTCCACCCATTGTGTCCAGCTCTTGTTTGTTCTTGCCTGAGTCCTGAACAGGTGCCCCTCGAGGCCCAGGGACACTCTGAGAAGCCAAGTTCATTTTCTCCACGAGAGGTTGGTCCAGGTTGAGGTTCTCTGGTTTCATGCACTGGCCGAGAGCACATGTGTAAGAGGCCTGGGGAAGCGCCCTGTTTATTCTCCACATGCCCGGAAGGATGCAGTGGAAGCTTTGCCTGCAGCGACTTCTTTCTGGCTTGAAGTTTCTGCCAACTGGAGGGCCTGCCCGTGCTGCGCAACTGCAGCATTCACTGGCAGGGAGCCCAGGCCAGGGTGGGCGTGGAGGCGGCGCCTTCGGCCACTGCTCCCCGAGCAGCTGTCACTGACAGGATGCCTGCACCCTCCACGGGAGGTGCCCCTTCCTGGCTGAATCCACTGGTTGGGTCCTAGTATATGAGGTGGCCTCCCAGGTGCGCATTGGGGACTCACTATTTCTGCCTCTTCATGCCAGCCAGTGGCGGTCCTGAAAGGCAAGCTGCGTTCGTACCAAACAACCCCTCCAGGCATGCAATGACTGAGGCGGGAAGCTCTGTAGAAATTCAGTTTATTCTTAGACTATTTTCAAAAGAAGCAGTGGTGCGCTGTTTTTCTAAAAATATGCCTTTATAGATTTATATATAATATGTATATTATAAAATCCATACATGTATTTACATGATTGCTACATACAAAAGTACAGCACTGTGGTATGTACATATCTATAGGTACATTCTTTCCGCCCATCCCTGCTGTGCTTTTCCCGGGTGAGGGAGGGAGACGATCCTTCGTGAAGCAGCTTGCGGGCCGACTTAGCCCCGGTGCCTCTGAGTGAGGGCCTCAGCAGAGAGGGTGCAGTGGCTGAGGAAGGAGCAGAAGCAGCAGGTGGCAGGACTCATCCTTTTGCAGGGCTAGTGGGCAGTATCTGGAGGCATCCACCCCGTGGTGACAATGCTGCCCATGAGGTGGAGGTGGCTGACCGCAGACCCCTCTGGGGCCATTCCGTAGCCTGGAGTTGCTTGGCTGAACCAAGAATTTGTCTATGTGAGGGAAGCAGGGGGCTGGGAGGAAGAGACCCCTCCCAACCCAGGCCCCCTGAAGGGGAAAGGGCTGGATGGCTAAAGCCTGCAGGAGACCCATTAGGAGACTGGCTGGCCAGTCCCTGCTGGGGGGGCCTGCACTGGCGGAGGCCGGGAGGGAGAGCAGTGGTGCCAGGGGGCAGGCCCTTCTGGGCTTGGGATGGCCTCCACCAAGCCGTGGTAGAGCCCGCTATGGCTGAGCACACGAGCACAGCCCCAGCCATTAGGCCCCACGGCTGGGTCTCCTGCCCGCAGAGGTGCTCTTGGCAGAGGTGCATGCACAGGGGTGAGGAGCTGCCTCCCCTTACTCCCTGGGCCAGGGGCTGGGGGAGGGGGGAGGGAGGCTCAGGCCTGGGCTTGGTGCCCTGCAGGACTAGGCCCCTGTGGCTCAGGCCAGCTGGGGGCAGCCCCAGCCCTCTGAGGCATGCAGAAAGGGCCTGTTTCTCCTGTTCCCCATGTTCCACAACAGGAGGGCAGCAGCGCCTGGGGGTGGGCGGGGTGGGCTGCTCCGGAGGGAGCCTGAGCCCTGCTCCACTGCGGATCCTAGGGAAGCCTCAGCTGGGCTGAGCTGGGCGGTGGGGACAGGGCTCCTGCCTGTCCCTCTATCAAGGGCAGCCTTCAGAGGCAAAGCGGGCCCTCCTGGACGACTTGGCCCCAGTGTGGGCAGGCCATGCACCACTGAACCAAGCCCAGGGAAGACCCTCGCATGCAAACTCGGTGGGCTAGCCCTCTCCCGCACCCCTTGCAGTCGCCTCCAGCCCACCCATCCTCGCTGGCCTGACTCCTCCCAACTTAAATTTTCCTGAAGAATGAGAAGAGCCGTTTGCCTTCAGTGGTGCTGGGCTCGGCCCCGCGCCCCACACCATGGGCCCTGGAAAGGGCAGCAGCAGGCCGGCTCCGTTCCTTCAGGTGCGTGTCCATCAGCTGCCGGTCAATGACCCTGTGCATGTCATCCTGCAGAGAGCAGAATGGAGGGGGCTGAGCAGGGCAGTGTCCTGGCACTGGGGTGGGCAGGGAGGTGACATGTCTGAAATACCGAAGGACAGGAGATGATGTGAGATGATGATGAGATGAGTGGCTGCAGCCAGGGCTGCCCCAACTGAGAAAGCAGCGAGCGTAGGTGCCGGGACACAGGAGCCACACACCACCTCCTCTCCTCAGGGCCTGGGCTGGCTTCTCCAGTGTTGCCCTCTGGCTGACAAAACTCCACAGACGGTTTGTCTCTACAGGCCCAGAGAGTGGCCGCCAGCTCCACACCAGTGCTCAGCCTCGCTTGTTACCGGCCCCCTCTGCCCTGCCTCCTGTATTCTTTGCGGCTGGGTGGGTGCCGCCCCTGTTCACAGCCTCAGCTTGCCAGCTCTGACCCAATGGCCTGGCCTCAGGTGGCTTCTGCCCCTTTTCCCTTCTAAGTATTACCAGCCTGAGCTGCTGACACCTATGCACCACAGACAAGGACACAGACTCCCTGGGTGCCAACCTTGCTTACCAACAACCACATGCATCAGCCCCCTCCTTGCGAGGCTCCCATGTGGCAGAAGCCTGGGCATCACCAACCACTTCAGGGCTTGACTTGCTTCAACTCAGGCCCGTTTCCTTAGCCGCCTCACTGGGGTAGCACCTTTCCCCTTCCAATTTGTTAAAGTTGCCTAGAAAGTGCCCCCCTCACCTGACTCCACCTTACAGAACAGCGGCTTTGACCCCTCAGAGAAGCTTCTGGACAGAGCAGCTCCACTCTATTCTAGTTGCTAGATCCCAATCTTGTGCAAGACTCCATTTGGCAAAGGCATTCTGCCACTAACAGTGCGAAAACCATTGGTTTAGAGACACAAGCAGCCTGTCTAGTTCACGTCAGCAGGAAACAACAAGCGTCTGCCTGATTCCTTCACCCTTGAGCCCTGTGGGCTCTGGGATATCCTGGTGAGAAGAGCCTTGGGCTAAACCCTGGAGTAAGTCCACTGCTCATGTCCCAGGGTGGTGAGGCCAGCATTTGGAGTGGGGAGCTCCCCAAGGTCAGGGCAACCACTCACTTGAGGGCAGGAAGTGGGGCTAGCAGGCCCCTCTCCCTGAACAGCTTGGCCACCACCTCCTACGCTCTCACTAGAGGGTGTCACAATGTCTTCAGGTTTCAGTGTGAAACAAAGACTTAGCCACACCACCAGGTGAGGACCTCTTGTTCCCGCCTTTGCTCATGTCCTGTCCTGCCTTTCCCTCCTCCCATCCCCGTCTGTCTTCATACTCCTGGTCCTTCACTGCTCCCCTCCCTCTTCCCGTCCTCACAGAAACAGGAGACACGCTCCCTACTTGTGTGTCCCGGTGTCGAACCCGCGGCACAGTGTCCTGCACTTAGGACGCACTTAACAGAGTCTATGTTTTAAACACAACATTATGAGTGGCACGGTAACCTTCAGAGACCCTTTCAAAGCTGCCAGTGTTTATGCTGGCACACTGCACACCGCATTTTTTATACTTTAAAGTTTGTCAAGGTAATCCCATGGCACAGATCACGTTAGAACACTATACACACATACACACGCATGAGCTGCTCGTAATTCCGTGCCTGCCGTTATTTCCAGGCAAGGCAACCCACTTATGAGGCGATGGTACCAAGAAACCAGGGGTCAGCCAGTCAGTACTGGGCCACGTGCTGCCGCGTTCACGGACGTGATGGTGATGGGAGGGAGGCTGGGCCGATGGCAGGCACACAGTACAGAGAGGATGCCAGACGCCAGCACACACAACACGGTGGGCCATGAGAGAGGTGGCAGGGACAGGACTTCGATGGCAGCAGTGGCGGGGGAGGATGGGGAATGAAGGCTCAATCTCACCTCAAAGGCAGGAGGGGTGTACAACTAAAGCTGTTGATACAGGAACTGAGAAAGGCCACTAGATCAGAAACCAAAGGAGCCAGATAGTAAAAAGCCCTGAGGAAGCAAACTGCAGCCAGGAGAGAAGAGAAAAGAAACAGGACAGTAAGCCAGGGAACGACTGCCCAAGAAGCCAGGGACCAGCTCTGAGGGTGTCGGGGGAGGGTCAAAGCTCAGAAGGGCCCCTGGAGGAACAGCTGCCATAACCTGCCCTCCACAGTGGGGCTTGCCTGGTAAAGCGCAGGTGGCTTTTCATCTGTCTGGTTAGTATTTCTTGGGGAGCAACCTGAATGGTTACACCCATATCCTGAAATTGTACTATGATAACCTCATTAACAAAAAGCAAGGACAGCCCTGGCCCAGGGGAAGTCCTGTCAGGCCTGAGATGGGTAGGCTGCCTGGACACTGAGAGCAGTGGTCCTAGAGAGGGACACAGACTCATCTTCCCCAGACTCACACCAGGACAGGACTCTGGAAAAAGGAAGCTGGCCTTTGAGAAAGGGAAGGACAGCAGCTACATCCGCCTGTGTATTTTCATTCAGTCACATAGGGCTTCCTGGGCCTCCAAGTTAACAGCTGTTTCTTGCAAATCTAAACAAAGCATGATGATCAGCTGAAGGAGGCCCCTGTTCCCAGCCTAGAGGTCACCACAGCCCCAAACAACACAACCTGGGCTTCGCGGCTCCTGAGAGCATCCTCAGGCATCCTTCCCCAGGGACTGGGGAAGCAGGAGCTCTGAATTTCAGCAGGTGAGGACAGGTTACTGCTCACCCATGCACATCGAACCCTCCAGTATCAAACTCTCCTTACACGCTGCCTGTGTTCGAAGATTCCTCCTGGAGCCTCGTCCCCCCTCCCCTTACCTGCCAAGCCTCAAGCTGCTGTGAGAGGTTCAGTTTCTGTTGAATGGCGTCCAGCAGCTGGCTGTTCAGAGACATCATGTCCATCTTGCACTTGGTGAGTTCCAGCTCCACAGCGTTCTTCCTGAAGACAGACAAGCCAGAGTGAGCACGGACGCCTTGTGCTAGAAGCACATGGTTCCTTACCTGGGGCACCTGGGGTCCACAGGATGAGAAATCAGGCTCTGACCCTAAACTTGCAACAAATAGTAACAGTAACTGTGATGTTACTTGCAGAAGGCTGGAAAGTTTGCAACATGCTTTCACAGACATTTTCTCAATTTTCCTAACCAACCTGTAGGGGAAGGGAATACCTGTCACCCCCATCTCACAGATGAAGAAGTGGTTAAGAGGATGATACTTAAGTCAGGACTAGAACCTAGAAGATCTCAAAGGCCTCACAACACTAAGGAGCTACTAATCCTTCCCCCAAAGGACCAGTCCCTGTGCAAGGTGAGGACCTTGCCCTCCTGGTCCCCTCCTTTTCACAAGCAATGCACCACTTAAGGGATCTAAGAGATACACACACCTGCAAAGGTGGCCACAAAGTGGTGATCACAGCTCACCTAATCGCAGTAGCCAACAACTGGGGGACTGGTGGTAAGTTACTCACAATGTATTTGGGCCTGGGGAGGAAAGCACCAAGAAACAAGGTTGGATATACCTGCTTCGTAAAAGAAAACCTGCCTGTGTGTATTTGAAGGTCACAGGCAAACATGTCTCCTGTTATCTTGGAATGATGATCATTGATGGGCACTTGCTCCTACACACTTTCACATTTTGAAATGTTACACACATTACTTTGTAAACCTTCCCCAACACTGCTGAATTATAGTTCAATGCAAAAGATTGTTAATTTGAGGAGGGGGCGGGGGGAATAAAAAGTGCAGGAGACTGCCTGGGCAGCCTCTGCAGAGACAGTAGTCGCGTCGTTGCCAAAATGAGTATTATTTAGCCCGTCTTCATACCTTTTGCATTCGACACAAAAACTAGCAAAAGTGTCCTCGTTGTACACGAGCCCGCGACCAATGTGCATGCTCAAGGACAGCTAGAGGACCCGCCTGCAGAGCCGCCCAGCTCTGGCCTCAGGAGCGCACCAAGCTAAGCACGGCTGCAAGGCGGGGCCGTTAGGGTAAAGTCTTCTGGCCACCACTGTGACCAGCACTTCCTCACTCGCCTCCAGTCCACTGAGCAATTAGTCGCCTCCCCTGACCCCCCACCGCTCCAGACCGGCGCCCCGCCCTTCCTAGAGAAGATCAGGACAGTCCGCCCACCCGGGATCCCACCCGGGATCCCGCCCGCAATGCGGCTGCAGGGACCGGAGCTGAGCCTGTCCAATGAGCGCAGGCGTTTCAAACGCTGCAGGCCGCTACGTCACGCCCGCTGCCATTGGCCAGTGGCGAACAGCGGAAATCCTGCGAGGAGCCGGTTGCCATGGACGCCCAGCCTGTCAGCGCGAACCCCGGGCGCCCAACCGGCGGCAGCCTCCTGTGCTCCCGGTGTCTCCCGGCAGGTGGCGCCAGGAGCAGCCTGGAGACGGGAATGTGCTGACTAACGCTGCCCGGGCGGAGCGCGGAGGGCGGGGGGCGGAGCTCCAGCGGCGCCCGCCCAGCCTGCAGGAGGGGCCCTTCCTCCAGAAAGCGCCTGCAGCCGGGCGCCTAGCCCACCTCCGCGTCCCAGTCTCGGCGGACACTCCCGGAACGTTTGCGCACCAGGCAATCTTGGCGCTTGTCATTCACGACAAACCCCAGACCAGACAGCAAAGCTGCAGAAACCACTAATCACTATATTAATCAGTTTTTTTCAAAAGGCATATTTCAAGGGGCTAGAAGAATCCCTTGTTTAAACGAAAACACTAGCAGCTGATTCCTTTTTGCTTTTATAAGCCAGGCTGCCAGCCCCAGGTATTTGTTCTAGTGAGGGCCTTTCACCTGCAAGGAGACTGAATTGTTACTTAACGCTTCCGGGACTTACCTACTGCATAGGATAGGAATGGGTAAGATTCTTGCTGCCCAGTGAAGAGGGGGTGGTACTGTTCGTGGGGATTCTCACCCCTGACTTGACTACACATTAGAATCACGGGGTGGGTCAGGGGGACGCTGTTAAGAAGCAGCTCTAAACCCAGAGTCATACTGAATTTTCTGGAGAGGGAGGGCTCTGGCATCCGGAGAGTTCCCTAGATGATTCTAAAGGGCAGCCAGGATGGAGAATCAGAGTTGACGTATATGAAAGCATCTTATAAAACTCTTAAGGTCCTATACAAAGGTGGTGTGGCTCCCCCACAGATTTAAAATGATTCCTTAGGTCTGCTGTCTCAATTCTTGTATGCCAAGGGTTTCATTTCTAAGGGAGAAAAAAAGAAGTCCTCGTGGAGTGACCCATCTACAAACCCCCCAAGGTCCAGCCCTGTTCTAAAGGGTCCGGGAAGGACAGGGGCCTCAATGCAGGGCTCCCCCTATTCCGGGAGGGGGGGGGATTTGAAAGTCCATCCAGACTCCAGGTTTCCTGGGCCTCCTCTGACAGCAGGCAAGGAAGGGCAGGGATTTCAGGGTTTCATGGATTTCTGGTGGCCTCTTCATCTGTCACCCAGGTGCCCGGGCTAGGTCCCATTTATTTTAAGGGAGAGGGACTTGCCACCCTCTTGTCCGCACTTTCTCTGGCTCTATCTCCCACCTCCCTCGCTGATGACAGAACATGGTCCGAGCCTGATGTCTGCTCTTCTACTCGACTAGCTGAGAAGAAATGACCAACACATCTCTGCTAACTTCATTCTGCTTTTTATTCCCCGTGGGCCTCCACAATTAGCGCCTTCACTGTGCCGTTTTGTTCCCTAACTGCGTGACACGATTTCACCCTGTTATATTCATAAAAGTCTGCGCCACTCCAAGTCATCACACTGCCATGCCGGTATTCACTAATTAAACCTACCAGGCAAAGACACCAAGGAAAGAGTGAAGATGGGACATATAAAAGAGTCACTTTAATCAAGCTGCTAAAATTATTAACGTTATGAAGGCATGAGGAGAGACTCTCTTCTTGTTTTTCTAGCCTGGGAACAGAAATTTTTTTCAACTTTCTAGTCCCCTATCAATGCCTGGATACACAGGGTGGTGCAAAAGTAGGTTTGTGAGCACATGAAACACAGAGTTAATTCTTTTTTTTTCCTTTTTTAAAGAGTTTATTGATTTTTTTTTTTTTTTAAGAGAAGAAGGGAGAGGGAAGGAGAAAGAAATGTTGATGTGAGAGTAAAACATGGATCAGCTGCCTTCTGCACACCCGCTACTGGGGACTGAGCCTGCAACCTGGGCATGTGCCCTGACCGGCAATTGAACAGATGACACCCAACCGAATCACACTGGCCAGGGCAACAGAGTTTATTCTCGTATTATTATTTAATAATTATTGTATTATTTTCCATACGAATAACTATAAACCTACTTTTGCCCCACTCTGTACATGTGGGCAGACACCAGACCTCCAGATAACCCTCTCTCTCTCTCTCCCTGAAGGTCTCGCTTATCCAGACCACCTGACACCCATTAACCAGACCTCCTGGTCTCTAAACAACCTGGCATCTAACATCCAGACAGCCTGACATCCGACTGATAACTCCTGGGCCAATCCTAGGGCTGAGAATTAGGACTTTAAGAACTCTTAACTCTCCTTTCTTCTCTGGAACACTTCTGGGTTTTTGCCTAGCTGTATTACCAGTCTGCAAACTCCAAAACCCTTGAATAAATATCATTTATTTTTAGCCAAAGCCTCCAGACTCCTTTTAAGTTCATTCGACAACACATAGGTTTGTGAGCCTCACTGAGTATAAAATTCCTAAATGAACTGCTTTGGGCTTCTGACTAGACAGAAAAAGGGGCCCAAAGGTAAAACTATGAAATGGAGACGAAAATGATTAAAGAGAACAGAAGAGTGGGAAAAGGTGTGGAGAATTTTAAAGCCGGAAGTTAAAATGTATCCTATTTTTTTTTTTTAAAAAAAGACACACAGTACCTAATTACAAATTGTTTCAAATGAGCCCCCTTTTAACTTCCTGACAAGCAGCTGTGGGGTGAGGGGAAAGGGTGAGGGTAAAGGATGTGGGGATGGGAGTCAGAGGTGGAGGCCGGTGATCACCACTGCCTGTGATCCTGGGAGAGAATCTGTTTCCTCATCTGCAAATTTAGGATTAAAAATTTTTACCTCTTGCTGTGGCTGGGAAGGTTAGAGGATGAAAGTGTTTTGTAGACAGCCAAGTGATGCACAGATGTTGTTATTAATGTGTTGTGAACAACCTAAAAGCAGGTACATTTTTAGTACTTTGTATCTCTCCCCACTCAGTGAGTAGGGTATAGACTGAGTGCATGATAAATAATTTGCAGGGGGATGGGAAACAGGTAAATACGTTTTGTTTATGTCGTTCCAAATTTCCTGAATGTAAGAGAATGAATTTATGCATTTCTTCTCTGCTAGAGAAAACCCAAAACATTAAAAAAATTACCCAGTTCCCTGGAAATACAGGGGACAGAGAAAAATGTTAAATGACACTCTGGGATGCAATCACACACTCAGAATATAGAAAAACTCTGAAACAAACAATTCAGTCTCTTCAATAAATAAATGCAATATAAAAAGAATGGAGGGGGAAGACTTTGGGGACAACATATCAAGTAAATGGAGTATGTAGAGTCTGAGTCTAATCAAACTATAAAAAGACATTTATGGGACACCTGGGGAAATCTGAACCCTGGACACCAGACGATGTAAGAAATAAGTTTTTACAAGTGTGATAACTGTATTGCTGGTTGTGTGTTTTATAGTAAGTGCCTTTTCCTGGTAGAGATCCATACTGAAGTGTTTATAGATGAGCAGACAGGATGTGTTGTGATTTTCTTTAACACCGTCCAGTGGGGAGGTGGAGGAAGCGGGCGAGGGTGGAGATGTAAAACACCAGCCATATGCTGATTAGTGCTGAAGCGGAGAGATGGGTAAGGAGGGATCCAGCTTATGTTTCTACTTTTGTGCATGCTTGAAAATGTCCATAATAAAAGTTAAAAAAAAATCACACCTCTAAAAATAAAAATGTCGAGGTAGATATATATATAATGAAACTGGAAGGCTCTCTAAGATGTAAGTGGGGGAAAAACAAGACATGTAGAGCATCATCCATTGATATTTTTTGTTGTTGTTAATCTTCACCTGAGGATATTTTTCCCATTGATTTTTAGACAGAGTAGGAGGGAGGGAGAGAGGGAGGAGAGAGGGAAAAGAGAGAGAGAGAGAAACATTGAAGCAAAAGAGACACGTCTATCCGTTGCCTCCTGCATGTCCCCTGACTGGGGCCTGGGATTGAGCCTGCAACCCAGGTATGTGCCCTTGACTAGGAATTGAACCCGAGACCCTTCGGTGTGTCGGCCGACGCACTAATCACTTAGCCATATCTGCCAGGACCATTGATGTTTTTAAAAACCCAGGACAACTACATTGCACACACGTGTGCATATGCAGAGGGAAAAGGTCTGCAAACAACGCCCGCCCACCTTTCAGTAGCAGTGTCTAGACGGAGACAATGGGATTGGGGGTGAGGGTGGATAGCAGGGAAATTCTTTCACTTTTATATCTTTCTGCATGGTTTAACTTGTAAAATGGAGCACATACGCATGTTACTTGTAATGAAAGTAAAATGAAATGAGCCATGCTCACTCACTTTGCAATGGCCTCATCCCGGTCCCTGATGGCTTTCTGAAGCTGCTCCTTTGGTTCCTTGTCCTCAGATGTCACTCTGAGTCGGTCTCTCTCCTCCTTCAGTGCAGTCATCTCCACACTCAGCAGTGTGACCTAAAGGGAGACCAAAGGGATGAGTGTTATGATACCACTGCTGCTGGCCTGGGGTGTTTCCCTCCGAGAGGTAGAAAGGAGCGAGGAGCCTCGGGCAGGCTCGGGGCCTGTGTGCCATGCAGGCTGGTTGCTGCCTGCTGCCTGCTGCTCTGAGAAAGGCCCACTCTCCTGGAGAAAGGGCGCCACATGCTAGGCTGGAGCTCAGTGGCCATGGACTGCAGCCACGGGGCCAGATCCCCTTTGTACACAGCACACCGCACCACCTCCTTCATTTCAAGGCAATCCCAGGGAACAAATAAGTGAAGACTACACGTCCACTTGGGCACTGAAACACAGTTTTGGGGGTAGAAACTCAACAAGGAGCACTGTTACCCACAGGGCCCTGGCTGTTTAAAGCCTGGGACCTGGTTCCCATCTCTGTGACAGCACTTGGCACAGCCTGGCTCCTCCACCTTCATTCTGCTCCCCAGGTCAAAGCTACATACAATTTAGAGACCTACATGATGTTATCACCTTTCCCTTCAAACCTGTCACCTTTTCTGTGCTCCACACCTTAGTGAATGGCACCACAGCCTGTCCTCTGGTGGTGGGCTCCCTTGGTGACCACGGCTTACCTGCCTTGCACACCTTGAGCTCTGTGAAGGCAGGAAGCATATCCTATCTATCTATGTATCTCAGAGCCTGACTCTGTATGATGCTTAATTCCAAAGGCTTGTGCAGTGGGTGGACAGATGTGATTTTTTTTTTTTTGGCTACTCAGCCCCCCAAATCCCTTCCTATTCTGGGGGCATTCCTGGTTGTGTGAGTCTTGGGAGACAGGACATGTCCTTCCCCACTAGCGAAGTCCAAAGGGGAGAGACACAGTGTTTCCAAGGCACCTGGGTATGAATCCTAAACTTGCCAGCCACCCCTCCCAACCTGGGACTGTAGCTCACGAGGGCAGAGCAAAGCCACAGACCACTGGGAAATTATTACACGGACAGCAGGTTTTTGCCTCTTCCCACGGCTCCCTCCTTCCTGTTTGGAGCTCAGTTCTCCAACCTTCCAACCTTCCAACCTTGATTCTGTAAGCTATCAGATTTCATCCCAATGCATTCTCTTTCTGCTTAAGTTATGCTGAGCGAGTTTCTGTTGTTTGCAACCAGAAACCCTGACTGGTAGAGCTTTTAGTAAATACTTGCTGAATGACTGGAAGGGTGGGAGCCCCTTCTCATAGCTGATAGGATCAGACTGGAGTCAGGATACCTGACCTGCCCTCTTGTTAAATATTACACATACTTCTGACATTTTTCCAAGGAAGGATCCACCCATACAGGTCTGTCTCTCCCACTAGGGAAGAGACGTCACCTTTTCGGTTTATTCCTCTGCTCTTCAAGTCCCAGGCTTACCTATCCTCAGATAGAACAAAACTGAGCCAAGGCCCCAGGACTAAGGCTGAAGATCAAGTTTCCCTATAGACTAAGACGGCAGAGTTGCCAGCTCCTGGGGAAGCAGCCACTTGGGAGGAAATCAGAGGACACCCCACAATGAAGAGGGATATGGGACAATTTGTTGTCACTATGGGCAATGGATTTTGTGCTCTTGGGTGCCTGGTAGGGACATCAGAACATCAGGACCTGGTGAGCAGGGTTAGCAGCCTTAGGGAAAGGACAGGCTGGGCATCTGCAGAGGCCACGACAGGCATATGCTCGGGTAGCCCTGAGGCAGGCAAGGCCACAAGTGAGAAGCCCAGCCTTGCCTTACTTGTTAGCAGGTTCTGCAGCTTGGCAGCCCAGGACTCAAGTCCCAGAAAGCACCTGGCAGAGACAGCCAGACATGTGAAGACCAAATAAGCCCTGACATGACCTCAGGCCAGCCGTGGGCCAGCCAGGTGTCCTGCCAGCTGAGCAAGCAACAGATAAAAGTACATGCTAGGCAGGAAATGCCAACGTTTAATATGCTCCAGATAAAACATAAGAACTTTTTGCTCTGACCTGGAAAACCTGGTCAAGATGGAGACAACTGGCTCATCTGCCTCAGACGTGACAAGGGACTTACCCTCTCTAAGTTACAGGCTTTTCACAAAAAGCAGGAATACATGTAACTATTTCCAGCATCAGGTTGTTGTGAGGATCAAATGAGATGAGCAACATCCAGGACCCAGCTCAGTGCCTGACACGGTGCCTCACTAGGGGTTGTGAGCTCCACTCTCTTCTCCTCCCTTCCCCCCCGCCCCCGCCGCTCGGGGCGTCTTGCTGACAGCTGTCATGACGACTAACCTGGCTTGTTTATACACTGACAGGCTACAGCCACCCCTAAATCCACTTTTCCCAAATAAGGCAGGTGTTCTCATGATTAGCGTCAAAGGAAACATCCTGAAGTTATGTATCAAGGGCTTCATTTGCCCTTGTGCTTGACAATTCTTTGTTTGACAAGGCACCGTGCTAGACGCTTCAGGGGAAGATGAAAGATACGTCAGACCTCGAGCTCGTCTGCATGGGGGTCTAAGTTCTGGGGAAATGAGATGCGAGGGAGGGCAAGCATGGAGCCAGGGTGGCTCCATGAGGAAGGGAATTGAGCGTTTCGAGGAGGAAGTGAAACCTGTTCAGGAACCTGATGGATGAGGAAGGTTGAGATTATGCACAGGTGGCAGGGAGAGTCCTCAGGGCAGGAAAGTTGGAGAGAAGATCCAGGTGTGGGAAAGCATGGGGACTGTGTGCCCTTTAAAAGCCTCTGTTCAGGCCCTGGCCAGGTAGCCCAGTTGGTTACAGCGTTGTCCTGATACACTAAGGTTTAGGGTTCAATCCCCAGTCAGGGCACATACAAGAATCAACCAATGAGTGCGTAAATGAGTGGAACTCACAGTCTCTTTCTCTCTCCCCACCCTCCCTTTCTCTAAAAATCAATAACCTACATCCTGCTCATGCTTCTGAATGAAGTAATGCCCTCTGGTGTTTCTAGTTTTATAATTCAGAGAAGCAACAAAACCAAACCAAAAAAAACACACACACAAAACAGCCAATATCAAAGAGCTGACAAGCAGAAGCATCCTGCAGAAATTTAAATAGGCTTTAAAATAAAGAAGACTTGTGTTAATCCAAAGAACGTTTAAATCCACGCTCTTTCGTATTTCATTCTTCCAGTTTCAAAGACCTGTCCCTAAGTCTGAACCACTTCCTGGCCCAACAACCACCTGAGGGCCTTAGGTTTGAGGCAGGAGAATGTCTTTGGCTGCCCAGACGCACTCTCTGTGCTTGGCCAGGAACAAGCTACAGTTTTCAATGGCCACTCTCTGTCCCTGTGATCTGGTCCCTCACAGTGAGTGTAGTCATTAACGGCTGTGGGTGGGGCTGACTCCCAATATCTTCCAAGAGAACACTACTAGGAAGTTCAATGGGCACAACTCCCAAAAAGGACAAGAGTTTACTTCTATACGGTCCTTTCAATGTAAGAAATACTGACTGAAGCGAAAGCCAGGCTTAAATTCCACCTCTCAACAGTCTTGTGTAGAGGTGACTAGCCTTGGACAAGGAAAGAAGGGGGGCAGGCTGGGTGGGGCAGGGTTTAATATGCTGCCTGCTTGGTATCCCCTGCAAGTGGGACAGAACCTCTATATATCATCCTAATCCAAAGGAAGGGCTATCCTCTGAGGATCTGCCAGAGGACACCCTGCTTCTCAAACAGCCATGGGAGGGAAACTCACGAGGGTCCCGAGAGCCCGGGGACATGTGCATACTCCCTGCACCGGGCCAAGGACGGGGGTGCTCACCTGACTGTGGAGGCGCTGCAGCTCTTCTAGGCTCTGCCTCAGTTTACCCCTCTCTCCCTCCATGAGTTCCCTCAGGGCTCTCGAATCCTCACTGGTCTGCCTTATCTGTTCTTCTAAAGAGTCATCGTCAATCCTCCGGGAGCTCTGACAGCAAAACGGAGCGAGCCAGCCAACCAGAGAGATGGTGAGAGGAGGGGAGCAGAGAGATGGTCAGTGGCAGAGATGTAGAGGAGAGAGGGCAGAGATGGTGGGGGTGGGGAGGAGATGGTCAGTGGGAAAGATGCAGAGGAGAGAGGGCAGAGATGATGGGGGGAGAGATGGTCAGTGGGAGAGATGCAGAGGAGAGAGGGCAGAGATGGTGAGGGCGGAGGGGAGTGATGGGGAGGGGAGCGGAGAGATAGTTCAGTTCAGGGGAGAGCAAGATAGCAGGAAATGGGACAGAGGAGCAGGAAGGAGAGAAAGAAGAGAGACAGAGGAAGCAAGAAAGATTAGAGGAGAAAGGTTCTCTTGCTCAATTCCAACCTGCAAACAGCAGCCAGACATTTACTCTTTTCAGGCTTCAGGGAAAGGAGATTGTGTGGTGTGAACAGCACACCTCCCTGAGCTTCCCTTCCCCACAACAACCCGGTCTCCACACTGCAACACATGCCCCAGACCCACACCGCCTGTGCAGATAAGGGCAACCACCCTTCCATCTGAACTATTCTGTAGGAAGGTGAAACCTGAGCAGAAACAGCAGCCTGAGAGCGGGACTGAGAAAGGAGTAAGGCTGGCAGAAAGCCGTTGTGAAGCCAGAAGAAATGCCCATCTGCCAGAGCCCCTGGGAATGTCCTTCCCCACAGGAGCCACTTGTGGAACCCTAAAAGGTCACTGTTGATCGTCTCAACTCCCTGTGCTCACTTACATACTTTTAGCAGAAGCCCCAGATCTTTTAAGTGCCTGTTCATAGTGAATCTCACCAGGAGGACCAATGGGCTGCACAAAAATAACTGTGGAGTTTACCTGGACCCAACGTTCTACATTCAAAGCTTCCAAGGAAAGCCCTTGAACTTGGGACCATCAGGGCCCATACTACTACATGGAGAAAGTCCTCCATTCGTACCCTAGTGTCTGCAGGAAGATGTCCGTGGAGCCTCCCACTCCCTGGTACTCAGCCCCTCTGCTTGATCACCAGCACTCAGTGCTCTCAGAGAACATTGGCTCAGAAGAAAACTCCTGAAGGTTTTATAAGGTTCCAGTTCAAGGGTCAGCCTCACTCTCTGTACCTGGTTTCAAGCTCCCACTAGTCAGGTCCTGTAGGGTGTAGGGTACATAGCTTCGAAGCCTGGTCTCTTACCGTGGGCTCCACGCCATCCACGATGCTCTGGATTAGCCTCTTGAGCTCACTGAGGGCCGTGCGCAAGCTGCCGGCAGGCACATCCTTGGCAGATGAGGTTTCCGAAGACTCGTCCATTGAGGAGTCCGTGGAGACGGCCGAGTCAGCGCTGTCGTTTCCTCGAAGGTGTGAGCAGAGATAGCGAACCTGGCAGTAGGCTTCCCAGAGCTGCAGTCTCAGCTGCTCCACAAAAGAATTATTCTTGATTATGGGCTCTAGAGTATACTGACACCCAGTCATCTTTTTCTAGTATATGAACCCAAGGGTCTAAGATGCTGTTCTAGGAGAAAGTTTTTTTTCATCACCTGTTCCAAAAATACCGATAGTTATATGGGCCCAGGACATCTATACAGACTCCCAATTCTTATGTTCCCTGCCCTCTAGCCCCTCCCACTTGCCAAATAAAGCACTTCTTTATCTAGGCAGCTGCTCTGGTGGGAGTCAGTGAATGATTAGGGGATGAGTAGTTATGAGTAGTATGAAAAGAAGCCAAGTGGACAGATCATAAATGATCGAGAACCCTGTCAACAGAAGAAATATGAGGCTAATGACTAGTCAACAAGCATTTCCTAAGAGGCACTGGGCAACAATGAGCCAGGACATGCTTCCTGACAGCTCCAGGAAGCAGGCCTAGGGACTTGCACAGGCTAAGGCTGAAGCAGTGGGCACTGGGCAGCAGGGGGACTGATGGGCTCCTGACATCCAGACCTGCCCTCAGGATCCCCAGGGATGTCAGCACCTGCTCTCTCTCCTGCTCCAGCTCCTCGGCCTCCATGCTCTGCTCAATCTCAGACAGGAGGGACGTGCTGGTGGCGGCAGAGCTCTGCAGACTCCTCTCCTCAGTGAGTTCTTCCACCTTCACCTGCAGTTGCCGGTATGAGAGCCGCACCTCCTGGAGCTCCAGCTGGCTTTGATGAAGCTTTAAGAGAAAGAGCACATGGTTGTGAGGCTTGACAGAACCAAAACAGATAGGGAACACTGACCTGGAACCTAATTGTGCTTCTAGATCCAACCACCCATTTACAGAAAAACACAGAGGAGGGAGAAACATGCTAGAATACATTAGGGGGATACAGTCAGCGACTTTCAGATCTGGGAAATTCTACAGGACAAGCAGCGCAGTTTCTTCAACAGATAAATTTCAAGGTAAAAAGAAAAGATAAAGGGGGCACCTATAGATTAAAAGAGATTTAGGAGACACTGACCAACTGCCATGTGTCAGCGTACTTTAATATGTACCTTGATTCATATGAAAAATATGAAAAGCAATTATGACATATACAAGACAATTGAAAATCTGAACACTGACTAGATATTTGATGATATGAAGGAAATACTGCTGATTTTTTAAGTAGAATAGTCCTGTGGCTATATCTTTAAATTTCTTATCACTAAGAGGTATTTGTTATTTACAGATGAAATAAAAATTCTGGGATTTATTTTAAAATAATACAAGAGAGGAGCAAGTGGATGGAAGAAGGACTGGTTAGGGGTTGATGGTTTGTAGAGCTGGGCAGTGGAGAACATGGGGCATCATCACACTATTCCATTTCTGAGTTTGCCTGAAATTATCCATAATAAAAAGTTAAACACGCACACTATAGGTAAGATACCATTAGATTCTCACCAAAACATGGCTAAAATAAATACGTATGTGCATGAAAGACAAACCGGATATCCACAGCAGCACTATTCCTAAGAGCTACAAATTGGAAACCATCCAAATGCCAATAAAAATAGAATGGATATAGTTACATGCTGGAATACTATACTGCAGTAAACAAAGAACACACTGCTACTATATGCCACAACACGGATGAATTTCACAGACATAATGTTGATCAAAAGCCAGGCATAAAACAATATATAGGGTGTCCCAAAAAAGGTATACATACACTTTGAATAATTATAAAGGCAGTGTTTATTAAAATACACTTCATTTTCAAAATTGAGCTATCAGCTGTTAAAGTGTGTATACATTTTTTAGGGGATACCCTGTATAACGTATGATTCCACTTATAAAAAGTGCCCAAACTTCATTGAGACAGAAGAGATGAAAATCGGAACAGCGGTTTATTTTTGAGGAAGTGGCAGGGTATTGCCTGGGAGGGAGGCTTGTGGGGTGCTGATAAGAGACTATGTGTTGAACTAGGTGCTGGTCACACAGGTGTACTTACTTGTAAAAATTCATTGGGCTGTCTGCTTAAGATCTGCACTCTTTACTATATGTATGTTATATTTTAGTGAAAAAGGTAAGGTTGTTTGCAGAAGAGCTAGGGGTGAGATTTGGAATATATCAGGATAGTAATACCAAGAATTCCCAAACCCCTGGGAAGAGCAGTCTGCCTTCTCGGTCATACTTCACGGTTTACGGACAAAGCCCTAGTCCTGGGAGGGACATTTCTCAGCATCTGGGGCTCAGAGAAGGAGGGAGATGGGTGCCAGTGGTAGAGAGGGAACAGCAATGCAAGTCTCACGGCTTATAGACCAGGGCTCCTTCCCTCTCTCTTACTGCTGCTACTTCACCCAACTCTGTATTCTCTATGGCCCCCTCCCTGTGGAGTCCAAACAGGGCACTGCTCCCTGGTGAAGTTACTCCTGCTGAATGTTAGAGTCGACTCCACTGTGACCGGTCCGTGCCATGCTCTTACTAGCGTGCTCCATCACTACACTTGCTTCTAACGTAAGGCCTCAAGTGCAGCATCTAATCCATTTGCTAACCGCTATGCAAATGTCCACACATCATACCTGTACAAAAAAAATTTTTTTTGGGGGGGAGGGGAGAACTTCCTGGGATTTAAATTTAACTAATTTATTGTCTTGTAAAATACACTTCTGGCTCTGGCTCAGTTGGTTAGAGCATCCACCTGTAGGCCAAAGGTTGGTTTGATTCCTGGTCAGGGCACAGACCTAGGTTGTGGGTTTGATCCCCAGTTGGGGTACGTACAGGAGGCAACTGAATGATATTTCTCTCTCACTGATGTTCCTCTTCCTCTCTCTACCTCCTTCTCTCTAAAAATCAATGAATATGTCCTGGGGTAAGGATTAAAAAAAAAAAGAGCAGACATTGTACTGTTTTTTTCCAGATTATTGGCCAAGTGGGCTTGTGGCTGCAACAGAGATGCAGAGACCAAGGGGCGGCAGGCAGCATCTCAGAGCTCTGTAGTTCTCATGAACGGAGCAAGCTGCCTTATGGAGCCTCCAGCCAATTCTTTAGGTGCCCTGAGAGCCTCCCCTCTGCTGGTCAGTATCAGAGAACAGTTGGCTAATGGCACCAGTGATCTAGATGTGCCTTAACTAGGAAGAGTTTGGAACCTGGCTGCTCAGAGAATGAAAAAGGAATTGGCAAGCTAGCTCTGCATGGTTCCCAGGGATCAGCAATACCTGCTGGTCCAGTGGGAACCCCTCCAGCCCCAGTTTTGAAGAAACTCAGAAAAAAGAAATTAGGGTTAAAAAAAAAAAAAAAGACATTCCTAGGAAGCATTTGGCACGATTACAAATGGCATACTAAATTGGCAAAGTGCTTTACAATTATTTTCTAGACAACTCCACATACATCTCAGCAGGAGACGCTCAGCACGGACAAGTACAAGTTTTTCTGCACTGGACAAAATTAGTTCAATTACTCATGCACACTTGAAGGTGCTTAATTAATTATAACAGCAAGAGAACAAAAGACCAGGACAGATCTGTCCTCTCTGGGCAATAACTGATCCACAAACTTACGCAGAAAAAAACGAACCAAATCAGGAAAGAGTCTGTTACATATAAGAACCCTCTAAAAAGAGAAATATAATCCTTTATATAACAAAGATGACACACAATGTATTTATATGTAGCAACAAGGAAGACACCAAATGCCTTGTGTTTGTCCAATATAACAAGTTCAAGCTCACAATACTCACGCCCCTAATGTTGGCAGAAGTGGGGGCACTCTCCTCACTTTAAACCAGGGGACTGAGACGTTGTGAAATAAAGTGATTTATGTAACAGTACATGCTCAGAGGCCCGGGTTCCAAGTCACCTGATTTCTGGGACCTGTGCTTTCTGATGAAATCCACCCACTCACTGGGATGAGGCCCCTGCACGCATCTGTGAGATGCCCAGCTGGGTATGAAATAGGGCAGTTACAGGGCCCTTCAAGGGACAATAGCCTCTACTGGATATTAAGAGTCTAGCAAAATGCTTGATTTTTAAAATGTATTGGGTCCTCGATAAATAATAATGTATACCCCTATTCTCAGCCTGAAAAACAAAATCAGAGTTGGATTTGATCAGTGGTTTAAAAATCTATATTTGACAGAACTTCAATGACATAGTGAACCAGATCAAAGGCTGGGGGTGGAGGGCTGCTCCGGCTATGGGAGGCCTGTTACCCTGCCTGCTCAGCCTTTCTCTCCTTCCCAGTCTAAGTAAAAGGATTAAAATCATGGGATTATGTACATTCCAACGCCACTAGCTCTACATTTCACAAATCTGATTTAGGAACATTCAACTACTACCCGAGTAAGCTGGAATTTTTATTTCTGTATCACAGCAGGCTATTTCAGCAACAGAAAGGGTTTTCTGGGGGGACTTTGGTAATTAGCAGCAGTGGAGGGAGAGTTTCATATGACTGAAGTACAGGAATGACAAATAGCTGGGAAAGATGAGAATTCAGCCCATAAATGCGTATTTTCCATATCAAAGTGGGAAGTGTCTGACTTTGCTGTAGGCCCTGGGATGAGTGATGCTCTCATTTAAAAAAAAAAAATCATTCATTTTTAAATTTAAAAAAATATGTGTCTTTATTGATTTCAGAGAGAGGAGGGGGGAGGAGAGAGAGACAGAAACATCAATGATGACAGAGTCATGGATCAGCTGCCTCCTACACACCCCATACTGGGAATCGAGCCCACAACCCAGGAATGGGCCCTGACGGAGAATCAAACCACAATCTGCTGCATCATAGGTCTATGCTCAACTGCTGAGCTATACAGGCCAGGCTATTTATTTACTTTTTTAATCCTCACCAAGGATATTTTTTCCATTGCTTTTCAGAGTGAAAGGGAGACAGAGAGAAACATCAATGTGAGAGAGACACATTGACTAGTTGCCTCCTGCACCCACCCCGACTGGGGATGGAGCCTGCAACCAAGATATGTGCCCTTGGCCAGAATCGAACCTGGGACCCTTCGGTCCACGGGCCGACGCCTTAACCACTGAGCCAAACCAGCCAGCGCAACACTCTCATTCTTGAAGGGGCCCGATCAGACGACAGTGGATGTACACGTGGCAAGGGTGTAAACTTGGGACTCTAGAGAACATACAGCTCACTGTGCCAGCCGGGTACTGGATGGTCCACACTAGTCCTGGCTCTTCCCCACCCCAGGTCCCCAATTCTTGGTTTGAAATAAGGACATTTCATTTATGAATTCATGCGAGACTGAATGTTTCTTTTAGGCAGGGGCAATTTCTCCGTTTTTCTGTACTTCTTTTCCTTCTACTGTCCACACTGCCCTGGCAACCCTCAGGAGAGTTCTCACGGGGTAAAAGAAGCTGGTGAAACACTGACTTGCAGAGGCTGGAAGCTATCCCTGAGCACCCGGTAAAGCAGGTGGTGGAGGGTTCTGACTTTTTACGCTACTGTGCATAAACAATTCATTTTTTCTAAGCCTCAGTTTTAGAATGTGTGCAAGCCTACGTTGCTCCCTGTAAAGAAGCATACAAACATTCACCACTATTATCATCATCAACCTTAAAACATGAGTGGACTCCTTTCAGCACCATTTCCTACTCAACACTAACAGAGGCCCTGCTATGGGCAAAGTTCCAAGCTGAAGATGCAAAAAACACACAGGGAGAAACATCACTAATTTGCCCTTAAAGAGGTTAATCACTCAGACGGTAGCTCAGCTGACAGTGTCAGTAACATGTGATCTTCGACTAAAATGCATCCTTCCTTATCCCACATCCCAGGGTTTTCTTCAACAGCTGACCACTGAGCCCACCCAGGGGGCCTTCCGTGGCCTGGCCTTTGGGCGGGGACCCACCTGGTGCTCGAGCATACCTGGCTGCCCACCTGCACACGAATGACATTGCTGCAATCCATTCCACTCCCTGGCATGCCCCTAAGATGCCCAAGGGGAAGCAATGCACTCCTAGCCACCAGCCCCGGGTACTCTGAGGCCAACCGGGCAAAACTTTCTTGGTAGCAGATGCTACACTCTATTTCTGGGGATGCTGGGAGCAATTGTCTTGTTCAGGGGGTTGTTTCTTGTTAAGTGTGAGCTTGGGGATTCAGCTGAGGCCTGTTCCCTCAAAAAGGACAAATATGGCCATGAAGCAATTTCCTTTAGTGAGGAAAAAAAAGAGGCTAATTAGGCTCACAAAGGGGTTAGCCTATGCCTTTTCTAGCAACTGGCAGAAGCAGGATATAAGTCTTGCTGTGTTCAGTGGGCAGCTTCCTGGTTCCTGCCAACTAAATCCATCAGCCCAGGGAAGCAGTGGCAGAGAGCATTGTGAGCTGAGCACAGAGAGTCACAGGCTCCCTCGGAAATCTCTGGAAGGTTTTGCAAACCCCAGGGGGCAGAATGACCTGTGTCCCAACTGCGTTAACAGCCCAGAGAGAACTCTGTGAAACTGCTCTGGGGCTAGAGGCTCAGAATAAAATGGAATTATGGCGATGCATTTCTTCTGGGCAGAGCTAGACCAGCCAACTTAGTGAGTGCTCGAGTACTAAAACCAGGCCTGGGGGGAGACTGCACCCACTCCTTACCCTAGAGGCAGCGCTGGCCTCCCAGCCTATCCTTCTAGCCAGGCACCTGAGGGCTCCTTTTATCTGGTCCTAGTCCCACAGAATAGCTCCTCTGCCCCGTCACTACCTGTATGTCTTTGTCATGGCCCTGCCGCTCCAGAATCAGCACTCGGTCCTGTAGCTCCTCCACGGTCCCCTGGAGCAGGTCATTCTCCTCTAAGGTGGCGCTGAGACGATGCTCTAGCTCCCGCTTCCGATCCGACAGCATCTTGATCTGAAAGGGTAGAGAGCCAGGAGGGTGGTGTGGGGTTACACCCAGGCTGAAGAGTAGGAAGAAGGGAGGGGCCAGCCCCCAAACACAAGCGCCTGTGTCTCTCTCTGAGTGCTCAGCCCAGGAGCCTGGTGCCCCCATCTCTGAGACAGCAGCTGTGAACTCCTGAGCTGAAGAGAACACCCCTCCCCTCTAGAAACCTGTCTGAGAAGGGGTGGGAGTGGAGCCTTGGGGAGGCTGGAATGCGGGATGCCAGGCAGAGGAAGGGAAGGTTAGTGCTCTGGAATGTCCACAGATAAGACAGAGGAGAGCCCCACCTTACCTGCCCCCGACTTGACTTCAACCCTACAGTTTACGAGGGAGTGGGACCTAACCTGCTAGATCATTCTTTCTTCTCAAGGCATGAGCACAGGAAAACACCAGAGCTAGCCTCTGGAGCCGCTGTATTTTCACATATTCTAGGGTTCTCTGTCTTTCCTCACTGCTAGTGGGTCTGGCTCTAGGGGTTCCAGTTCAGACCCGAGTTAATGCAGGAGCTAGCAGGGTACAGAAAATAAGCAGTGCCTGCATCAGCCTGGGTCCTGGGAGGGAACAGGACACAGACACAAGGGCTAACTAACTTGACTCAAGGTTATTTTTTTGCTTGAGCAAGTAATTTGTGAACAGTAAATTTGTGAAGCAGCTTCTCTCCTTTTACCAAACAGGCTGGTACGTTTGTACACTGAGTATCTAGCCAGTCTCCAGTGAGATAGAAATCTTTTAGGAAGGCCTGTCTGGTCTCTTTAGTTTCAGGTGGAAAACAGAGGAAGGAGATGCCAAGTTTTCTCTGGCCTCGAGGTCTCCAGGGTGAGCAGCTGCACCAGCACTCCCCGAGGCTAGCTTCACCCCAGGACACTGCCCTGCTTGGGGCTACAGGGAGCCTTCCCAAGTCTCAATTGTCAGTGGCCTTGGGGGAGGTGCCTGCAGGTCTCCTTGGCTCCTCCTATTTATCAGTTCCCTGCTGGACTGATTTCTCAGCCAGTGTCCTGCTTGTCAACAGTCTCCTGACATGGTTGAAAGGTTCTCTATGCTCTCTAGTCTAGTGTGGGTAACAACTCACTAAGGGGGACCCGCCTCAGACCTCTTCCACCTTTCTCTCTGCTTTTCAGCTGTTCTCACTCTCTGCACTAGAATTCTGTTCACGGGGCACAGATCTCTATGGCCATCCATCCATCAGATAGGATGCTGTCCTGGGGAAATGAAGTATGTGGCCTTTGTCCAGAGGGATCAGGTATCCGGCCAAACAAAGAAACACTGTCTCTCAAGTATGCACCTGGGTGAGGGAGCACAAGGAGCAGGCCCCTTTTGTGAATGGGCCTACTATTCCCTACGCTGAAGCAACGTAACCCACGTAACCCATGTGAAGGGAATTCTTACTCCAGTTGATTTCCCTTTAAACGCCCTCTGACCTTTCCATTTTCCTTCCCATGGATCATTTTTGCTTCCCAAGTTCCACTCAGTGGAGCCATGTGGTAATATGGTTCTGACTGACAACCCCAGCCCCTTATTTGAAGTCACTTATTTGAAATGAAGCATTTCACAGCTTGGGTTTTAACAGTAGCAGTGTTGCTGGAAGCACGAAATTAGCATGAGGTGGCTGACTCCCTCATTCCTCCCCGCCTCCCCCCCTCCGAAACTTGTGACCAAACCTGGTGATAAACATTCCTGGGAAGGACCCTGTGTTGCGAGGGTCTAGAAATAGTGGTGTGGGGCGGGAGAAAAGACAGGCAACTTGGAGGAGTTGGACCTTGGCAGGGGCAGGTGAATGGTAAGTCATGCACAAAAATGAACACACAGACAGGCATGCCAACCCCCACCCCCACCCCCCGGAACAAACTACTTACTTCAAGAACCTGCTGCTCAATCCCAGCAGGAATCCAAGGGAAGGGAGGAAGGAAGGGAAGGAGAGGCAGGAGAAAAGAGAAGACATTGACTGACTTTAGGAAAAACATCGTTAGGTCACTTACGAAGCAGGGGACCAGCCTGCTTCTCTGGGCCTGGCCACACTGGGGATTCCTTAACCACAGTGGGGTGAACGTTCGTCGGGCCCTGGTCTGTCCTTCAAAGTGTAACTCAGCCCAAGGGCGGCTCTTTCAGGCACTTGGCCGAGGGGTCCTCAGGAGCAGACTAGGGAGAAGCCTCCCCAGGAAACAGACCGTTTGGGCTGACGGTATGACCTTCCCTTCTCCTCGCCTCCCACACCTGGATTCTCACAGTGCTATGCTGCTCTTCCTTTCTGGCCCACTCAGGGCCATAGATCCTGACTGCCTCTCATATACTTTCAATGACATTACATTCTCCCAACCACCACACACAGTGCTTTCCATGTAATAACTTAGCAAATCCTCACAAGAGCCCCATGAAGTAGATACTCTACTTCTCTCACTTTGTACGTGAGAACAGGCCCTGTTCAGGTGAACTGAAATGGACCCAAGTGGAGGGGACAAAAGGAAGACTCCCTTTCCCATCTTCTATTCAGGATTGGCGAGGATGTTTTTAGAGGAATCAACATATTCGGTAAAAAGTAGGCCATTCATGATTTCACAACACTCAGCAGTAACTCTGAGCAACCTCATTTGAGGAGCTTGGATCACGCGTTCCCCATTTAGCTTCTCACAGATCTGTCTCTCTAGAGATCTTAGAGAGAGCAAGTGTTGGTTCCCCAGTTCAGAGGGCTCCTTATCTAAAAGACCCGGTGCAGTGCCTACCATGAGAAAAGCACTCCCATCTCCAAGCAGCACTGCCCGGGAGGCTCACCTCAGCCTGCAGGCTTTCCAGGCGGATGATGTGCTGGTTGGTCGAGGAGTTTTTCTCTCGAAAGTCTTCTCTGAGGGCATGGACTTGCATGGAGAGCTGTCTCTCGACTTCTGATGCCTGCAAGCAGAGGAGACCTTCAGAGCCAATTCAGAGGTTGTGCAAAGCAAGTCTGTTCAGATTCTTGCCTTTCATTCCTCAAGCATTTCTTTGCAACTCTCTATTCTATAAGGAGTACAAGATGAAATGCTAGCTTCCTCCCCTGGGTCCAACTGTTCTCTAGCACCCAAACAAGACACAGCCCTACCCCTACCTCCACCATGAAAGGCTCTGTCTAGGTCTAAGACCACTTGGCTGATCAGAGGCAACAGGTCTAGAAAACAGTAAGCTCTGAAAGGTTAGTTATCACCATCATTACTCTGCACACCGCAGAAGCTTAGCAAAGATCTAAATTGAGAGAAAGTCTCAGTATATTAAATGAAAGAATAAGACAGACAGACCTTCGACCGTAGACATTCCTGTATTTCTCCCATCCACTTCCTCAGCAGGGCCCAGGGAGATCATCACTGTCTGCATTTCTCACTTCCACTTGACAGGGGCACCATTTAAGACTTCCTGTCATGTCAGTTAAGACTCTGTTTTTTACTCTTCAAGGACATTATTTTGCAACTTAAAAAAAATACATATGTTGCCCTGGCCAGTTTGGCTCAGTGGTTAGAACGTTAGCCCTCAGACTGAGGGGTCCCAGGTTCGATTCCAGCCAAGGGGCACGAGCCTCAGTTGCAGGCTCAGTTTGGGTCAGGGCTCAAGCAGGAAGCAACCAAGTATCTCACACTGATGTTTCTCTTTCTCTCCCTCTTCCACTCTCTCTGAAAAGCAATGGAAAAAATATCCTCAGTGAGGATTAAAAAATATATATGTATTTTTTTTACTGATTTTAGAGAGGGGAAGGGAGAGAGAGAAAAAAACATCTATGTGAGAGGAAACATCAACTGGCTGCCTCTGGCACCCCCCTCCCCCGACTGGGATCTAAGCCTGCAACCCTGACAGAGAATCGAACCTGTGACCTTGCAGTGCATGGGAAGACGCTCAAGCAACTGAGCAACGCCAGCCAGGGCTATTTTGCAACTTTTAAATCTCTTGGGAGTATGGGCTGAGGCCCTCATTTCCCACCCTAACCCATTTATTCTCTAGTGCTAAACCACAGCGAGCACTGAATATAGTTTGGTGTATCAACACCTCCTGAACACGCAGGAGAGCATTTTAAGAGAGTGCTCCCCCGGTGAGACACGGGCTGTAGTGCTCCTCCCAAGGGCCTGGCCCAGCCCACACTGAGGAGGACCCTGAACACTACCCAGTAGAGAGGGGAGCCACTGGACAGGGTAACTGCCTCAGTGCTTTTTTTGAAGCCAAATGGGGTCAGTGAGCTTTATGGGTTCTCAGGAGAGATCACCGTGTGCTGGAATTCTTAGAAAAGGCTTTCAAGAGAAGGTGGGATGATAATGTTGAAATGGTAGGCGAGCTGTTCAATGAGGCTTCACGGGAATGCTTACATTGTTCAGTAGCTCTTTTTATCTTCAAGTGCTATTGAATCAATTGCTCATCTTTTTTTTGGGTCCCATAAATTCAACAAATGTTGCTCCCCCCCCCATCTAGAGAGGCACATAAGAATCTTAATAACTTATAGTTCTAATTTTAAAACAACAATTATAGTCCTGTCCGGGTAGCTCAGTTCACTAGAACATCGTCCTGATACACCAAGGTTGCAGGTTTGATCCCAGGTCAAGGCATGTACAAGGAGCAACCAATGAATGCATAAATACATGGAACGGCATCGATGTTTCTCTCCCTCTCTGTCTCTCTCTCCCTTCCTTCCTCTCTCAAATCAATTAAAAAAAAAAAGAAAAAAAGATCTGATGTTCAAGTTACCCGCACTGAAATGTCTAAAAGATTAAATGTAAACAAAGGCAAATCTTGACTAATGAAAGAAAATTTCGCATAGGGATGGATGGAGGAGGGAAATGGCAGCCCTGAGGCAGAGCTGCAGAGAATTCAGGCACTTGCCTTCATCCATGGATGGTGGTAATAACAGAGAAACTCTGAAAGGTCTTGGGGGCAAAGGGGAAAGTGGAAATGAAAATGCAGGCAAACTGAAAGAATTATCCAGTTAACTGAGACGTTGCATTGCTCCCAAGAACATGTCTATCTTGGGAAAGACCTCTGTTCTCTCAGGGTTAAAAATCCTGAGTATGGTAGGATTCCTGCAATGTGAAATGTTTATGCTTTCAAAAGGAGATCATGCAAAGATACTTGGAAAAGAAACTAAGCACCTTTTCATGATAAACAGGAAGGGTGAGGGGGAGGTAGATATTTGAATGACATTCTACTTAGTCAATTTTAGTTTAGGACAGTGATGGGAATGGGCTGGGCGGGGGCTGTCACAGGGACACATTTGGGAGTCTTTCAAAAAATAACAGTCATGTCTAATCCCAACAAAGAAAATTCTAGTACTTTTTTTTTTCTCTTGGTCCTATGGCTCTCACTAGGGGTCTCATCAAGACCTCAAAAGAAGGTTAAGAAGTTCAAATGTTCTTGTATGGAGCTGGAGGATTAGGGAAAAATTGCTCCTGGAATGGTGGTCACTTTCTTCTGCCCACCACTGTAAAAACAAAATGATTAATCCAATTATGCCTCCCGCCCCCAACCCCCCAACTTGACTCCAGGGATTCTGCTTATTGGAATGTCTTTCCTTGAAATTTTTCACCTGATAAATTCTTAACCTTAAAAGCCCAGTTTTTTTCAGAGGTGACCACTATATTGCTTTTACAATCTCCCAGAATAAAATTACTATATTATTTGCTGCCCTATAATATTCTTGAGTACTACACCCTCTATTTTGTTTGTTTACCACACACTATTTTGTTTGTTTACATGTCTGTTTCCTCTCAATTGCACCTCCTACTTATCTTTGTTTCCCTAAAAAAGTACATGGCACGTAGTAGGTGCTCAAATGTTTACTGCATGATATAAAATCTGAATACCTTATATGAGTACTTTTTGAGATAAGCCAAGCTATGACTGTAGAAAATAGAAGTGGGATTAAGCTAAACCCCAGGAGTGTCCCTTTAGCAAAGTTCCAGTAGGATCATCAGGGAATTAATGAGATAATTCCCTTTAATTTAAATAGCCCACCCCCAGGAAAGGGCATTCTTTCCTCTCTTAGGTCACTATGGCTCAGGCTTTGATGTAAATTATCCATGACTGATCCGTGGACTTGCTGCTTGGTGCCTATACCTATACCTTCGCTCTACTTTTGCATGTGGAATCTTTTAATACTTAGAAACCATCACTTTTTTCCCTGAGCCTTCTATAAGCCTAAGTCCTGTCTTTTATAAGGTCATTATTATTTTTTTTTAATGTTTTTATTGACTTCAGAGAGAGGAAGGGAGAGGGGGAGAGACAGAAACATCAATAATGAGTCATTGATCGGCTGCATCTTGCACACCCCACTGGGGTCGAGCCCACAACCTGGGCATGTGCCCTGATCGGGAATCGAACCGTGATCTCCTGGATCATAGGTCAATGCTCAACCTCTGAGCCATGCCGGCCAGGCAAGTCATTATTTTTGATAGTTGACAGATCTGAAATCCTTCTTTGGAGCTTGTTATTAATTAGGAAACCTACCAAAAAAGTGTATGTGGGAGTAAGCTTTAAATTTAGATTTCTCAAGCTCTGTTAATCTGGGTTGAATGCAACAAATTAAACCCAAAGAAAAGAAAGATAATGAATATTTATTAAGTACTTTCTATGTCTAAGCACTGCTCTAGGTAACATACCTTATTTCATTTTACCTTAAGGCTATATGTATGGGATATGTCCTGTTAACCGATTTTATAGATGAAGAAATTGAAGCTAGAAGAGATTGAGTCACATAGTTGAAGTCACTTGAATTAGTAAATGATGGAGCTAGTATTCAAAATGCACGTCTGATCCCAAAGCCAATGGAAATACCACCACATGACCAAGCCCAAGAAAAAAGATTAAAAACCAGTGGTTTAAGGAAAAAGTATTGGGACATGGATCACCTGTCCTAACTTTCTGGTTCACTGAGTGAACATAAACAATTCACGTAAGCAATCTGGCCTGTTTCCTCAGGCCTTTAAAAAATATGGGACAAGCTAACTCTACTCACTGCCGGATCATCCTCAGGGGCAATTAGACTTTATGTAGTGTTGTGAGTTGGTATCTGTTTTGTTTTCTTGTTTCTCCAAGGACAGTAAGGGAGCAAGAGTAGCTTACTACTTCCAGAAACTACCTAGTGGACTGGCTTTGTGAACATGAAAGCAGTAAGTTTTGAAGTTGACTCAGTTTTTCTCCTGAGAAAAATGGAAGGTCAAAGGATGAGTCTGTTTAAAAAAAAGAAACATATTATGTAAACCAGGCTACACAAAGGAAGTTATTCCCAAGTGAACATCAACTTCTCAGGAAAGGTTAAGAGAGTAAAAGCATATCTCACTTTCTCACACATTAAATACATAATAAAAACCCATTTCCTACTTCTTCAAGGTGTTGGAAATTGATTAGTTCATGTCTGTGAAGGCTTCCAGGTATAAAGTGCTATCTGCTAAGCACTATTCTATTTAAACTTCCTTCTGCTTCCTTTCTGTCAGTCAACTTCTATGTCTATCTGGGATGCCATGATGCAGATTATTAATTAACTGCAGTCTCATAAGCCTGAAAATTCTAGGGAGCAAGGAAGCTTGAAAAGATAGAAATGAAAATGTAGAGCACACTCAGACAGAGGCACATTTAGATGCCAGAGTAATTATTCCAAGCCCAAGAGAATCCAAATGAGCTGTCACCTGAGAGCTCCTAGGTGGCAGAGAAGGTACTCTAGATAAATAAAAATGTTCATTCATTGATAAACCTAACATACTGAGGAAGCGCAAAAACACAACAAAGGCAACAATTCCAAATAATGTGGTAATCCCATACCATTGCAACATACACTTAGTGGACAACTACCACAGGCAAGGCAATGTGTTAGGCAGTGAGTAAGATGCTGCCCTGCGTTCAAGGAAGGGCATAAAACATGTAAAAGAACTAGGGGTCGCACCTGT